AACTGATTTCAGCGTTGGACTGTCCACTAACCAAAAAAATTCTAAGCTATGAAAGTTTGGTTATAGTTAACATTTAACGGGGGAACAATTTGTAAAATAGATGATGGTCTAACCATTATACTGTGCACCTGACACTAACACAAAATAATGTTGGATGCAAACTGTAATTGAAAAATAAAATAAAAAAACCCTTCATTACAGAATTATAATACACACTTAGAATTCAATTTAATCAGATCTTGTCAATATTTATAAAAGATCTTAAAAATTTTAACAAAATCTGGGAATTTATTTAATAAACAAACAAAAAAATTAGTATTAAAATTAAAAGCACCGCCCTGGACAATAAATATGAAGCAGCACCAGATTATAATAGGAAAAGAATCAAAAGTAACGGTCTAAAACGATGTGAAAGACAAGATAACTCAGTGTAAAAATCCAGTAGCATAATGGAAGACGGAAAAAATGTGATAAAATGAGACAAAAACAAACTTTCCAATTAATTTATTTAAATTCATTAACGTTGCAAAAATATGATGTGCAACAGATCAGAACACAAGTGACTGTATTCCTAAACAAAATATTACATCTCCTTAGTAAATCAATACCAACCCTAGTATTTCTAACAGGGACCACATAAACATCTTGCACACATAACCATCAATCAGAACTGAATTTCTCAAACAGTTAAAAAATAAAAGCACTAAGCTAGGCAAAAGCATCTGAACGATAGTAAAATGATCACAGTACATTAATTTAGTTTAAATGGCAACACGTGAACCGATAAGAAAAATATTTGAATTTTTGAAATACATATCAAAGTGTGTTAGTATTGAACAAACCCTGAATTTTGTTCTATTTGAATGCCCCAAGGGCTATGCAAGTTAGTGACCTTGAACAGCACCAATATTTACTAGCTAGGTGTATGTAAATAAACTGTGTAAGGGGCAAACTTTAGAAAGTTCATATACAAAAAGTGCAGTGGAGTAGCTAATTTATGTTTTCCAAGTTCCTCCTTATCCAAAAAAAAAAAAATTAAAAAAAAATTGAAACAAACTTTTAAAATGCAAATGTCTTAGCTTCTTGTAGAATGTCTTAAAAGACAGAATCAGACAGCTAAATGAAATGGACAGCTTACTGTAATTCTTCAATTTGAAAGCATTAAACCTTGATCTTCATCTGGTGTTTATTAAGTGCTTCATGTGAACTTTTTGTAGCATTTTTTAAAGTAGTTCTCAAAACGTAAGAAATTAAGTAACTGTCATATACAGCAGTTACAGTTCTGTTCAAATTTTAGTGTCACTTTTTACTGCTCAACACATTACCTTATTTTCAATTACTATTTAGAACTTTAAAGGAAAATTGCATTACAGGGACTCACCATTGGTCTAACTCAAATTCATTCAGAGTCTTGGGACAGGAAGTGGAGAGTTAAAGGCCAGTGGGTAATTCTGTTCTTAGAACGCTGAGTAGATGGTCTCCTACACTTCCCAATCCTGCTGACTTTCCTATGCAAGTCTAAATTCTTGACTCTCTCAACAGCTCAAATTACATAATTCCTATTCCCTATTACAAGATAAAATCTAATATTAGATTTGGTCTATTACTGTAAGTATAGTAATTCCTCTACCCATCCTTCTGAGAATTATAATCCATTCTCAAAAATCTGAATATGAAGGGGAAAATATAGACATGAAAACAAAAAATGGGGTAGCAATCTCACCCCTCCTCCCTTCTGGTTGAACCATATTAGCAATTTTCCATATGACACAGGAAAAGGGAATGAAACTGCTGTCACATTATATACAACCTTACCAATCTCATTAGCAAACTGCCTGTTCTGACATATCCTAATGCTAATTTTATCAATTGAAGAAATCTAAAAAGCCACTGCTTGCCTTAAATCACTTTCAAATTCCCTGAGCATTCATATAAAAACAGCTAAATAGCAACACTAAAGAGCCATTTACAAAGTCTCTATCAAAAACCAGACCTCTTACTGTTTTAAATTCTGGAATTACAGTTGAAGAATTCCTATCTAACAAAATATACTTGTCAATCAGCAGATTTCAGTATTCAGTGCAGTTACTAAATAGTGATGTCTATTTTGGAAGACTATATTAATATTTACCAACCATGACATATGATAAATAACCTAGTCCTAAACTTTAACTTGCACACTATAAATTGCTGACCCTCTTTGTTCAAACTTGCTTCTGTATGAAGGGAAATAGCAGAAGAAAATATGATTTATCATTATGAATATTATCAGCCTTTCCCCCTTCGCATATTCTGTGTGTAGCATGAAGATTTTCCTGCTGGATACTCAAAATGGTACCAACAGCTACCAGTTCTTCCTGTAACAGGAACACATTCAGTGGCATCTTAGATAACAGCTAACTCTTTACCCCTTCATAGTTTTCTTTTACTTCCTTGTTTTGTTATCTTTTCCAACTACCTGCTTGGCTCTACTTAGAATCATATTTCTTTATTACCTATCCCCTGATTTCCAGAGTTAGGGACTATTAAGCTTAAGCTATGGGATCAATATAGCATCTTTCGTTGATGGTACTTAGGAATATAACCAAGTAAGACACAAATTACTTTCTATGAGAAACTACTGACTAAAAAAAGGCACTCAGAGCCCAAGTATCACACAAAAAGTAAAAGATTCAACAAATTAAACCAGTTAAGTTAGATCCATGACCCCAGCAGAAAGATAAAATAATATATGTACTTTGATCTCGGTCAGCAGTGTAGAATTAAAATTGAGTGCTTTGGGGGAAATGTTAACAAAGCTACAAATTACAAATTTAATAAATGCTTTTATTCTAACCTACTTAAGTCTTAAAATTTTGAAACATTTATTATGGGGCATGTCCCTATACCAGATTCCATTAAGGTGAAGGTTAGTTAGAGCAGGTATCCTTTGAATCTAGTGATTCACAGCACGTCCCTTTTTTTGTATTCCAGTGTTATCACTGTACCCTCTGAATCTTAATGTTCTAATAGAATACAGGCTAATTCTACTTTTAAAAATTATTTAAAGAACACATCATTTTTGTAACAAGCTGTATCTGTAGTTAGAAACAATGATTACAAAAGGAAAAGTCAATAAACACAATAAAGTTGAAACTGAACTGGGTACCTGATGTGGAGGAAAACTACCTATTTCAATAAAGCTCAGTCCATTTTGAGCCAGATGAATACTAATAGATAAAAGGTTACATAAAGCACTTTACAAATATAGACTCTAATCACAATTAAATTCAATGTTATTCTTTATTCATAATCCTTATATAGTGAAGTCAGAAAGAATACTTAAATTAATGTTAATTTGGTGTTTTAGTACAAAGTGTTTCTAACACTTGAGCAAGTAATAAGGGTTTGATTTTATTCACTCTAGTGACATTAGTTTGGGATCTGCCTATAGCTGCTGGATCCAAGTTGTCAGGAGGCAACTGAGGGCTATCTCATCCTGGGAATCCTCCAGCATCACCCTTAATTGGACTTAAGATAGCATGCAAGTTTATGACTGAAGAGGACAAAAAGTAAAGAAAAATTGCATTTTGTAACAGGAACTTTATACTGAAAGTGGAAATGGTAAAAGCCACGTGTCTTCAGTCCAGGATGGAATAAATCTTTAAAGTTTAGCTCTCATCCACTTCAATTATGCCACTCCAGGACACTCTTGTAAATTACCTTATAAGAAGGACTAGAATGTGATGTGACCTCAAATTAGGAGTTTACCAAATGTCTGAGTCACACAAGTATTCAGAACATTAGACCTATCGGCTCTTTTAGGATGACTTTGTGGGTAAATTTAGTTCTTTTTGGAGGCATAAGTACAATTGATTTCAATGTAGAGACAAGGTATTTACCAAATTAACCAAGGAGTTATATGCTATATCAAATGAGTCATCCAAAACAGTATAATACAATGATGCTCTAAGATTTAGAAAATAGCTTAACTTATAGGAAATGTGAAAATACACTGTATCTGACTACTTACTAAGCCCAAATAACTGATATGGAAGTATTTTGATAAAGTGCCCACATTGGGAGCAATTAAAAAAGCAGCTCCTGTTTTTCATAAAAAAGTAGTGACAGTGAATAACTCATCATGTTCTCTGAATAGTACACTGCACCCACACAAATTCATAACAGTGATACCCTGGACACAGCTTATTTCACATTAGTGAACAAATCTAAGATTTTTATAAAGGTCTGTCTTTTGGCCAGAAAATAAAATGTCCCATATATACATATATGTACAAACCTCAATTTTTAGCCTCTTAAATTTTCCAGTTCTAAAACTGGCTTTTAAAGTTGTCTTTAAATTTAAAAAGGAAAAAGTGTGCATTACATTTATAATTGTGCTTCTGAATTAAGGAACAATATATGTTAAGGATGGTATAACACTAATCTACTTAGATTATATGCATGACCTTTGGGTATTCATGAGAACCAGTTTAATAGTCCCTATCCCTATGAGCCACTTCTTTTTTAAGTTACCTACGAAATGTAGTTAGCATTTATAAAACACAAAAATTCTAACATGCACTTTACAAAACCATGGTCTTATTTATCTGTATATTCTTCCAAAAGACAGGTATACATTAAAAAATATTGTCAAAACATAAAAATATATATTATCTCTTTCCTTGACCAAATAGGCATATAAATATTTTACTAAAGAAGACGCATCATTCAATAAACAAATGCAAAAACCACTTTATATAAAGTGTGGTTCTCTGCTTTAAGCAATATAAAATATAAAATGACTACAATATCATTAGCTAGTAAAGAGCTAAATTCAAGAGATTTGCAAACCAAAACAGTAGTGAACAGTTCCTTATACAAAAGTCCATTGAGAAAAAGTCAAGTCGATTTTGTAACAGGTTACATAAAAATCAGGGCCAGTAAATGCATTATAAATGCAAAAAAGAGCACTGCTTCATCAGCACATTCTTCAGTCTTGTTTGGATTAGATGCCAAACTTACTGTTCACTTTTTGGTTCATCTTGTTTTCCACTAAGCTCTTGATCAACTCTGTTTAATGAAAAACAATATAGATAATAAAACACTAGTAACTGAATAGTTTTCTTCTTAAAAATAATGTTTACTTTTAGCATAGAATTATTCTGTTAAAAACAAAGCTTTGCCAAGAAGCAGACACAGTGAAAAGGTTACCAAACACTTTCCCAATAAAGAAAGATAATTTTTAAAGTCAAGAGAATACTGACAAGAAACCTAACTGTTGCTTCTTTAAAAATTATAAAATACTTACGTACAAATGCACATAACCTTTATTAAAAGTTCAAATTACTGAACTTTACATCCTGAACAACAGTGCATAGTAAAATGTTGGATTGTAACATAGCTGGGGCAGGGATCTATGTGAAAAGTGAGTGGTAGGAAAAACAATTCTTTTAAAGATGATTTTGTTAAGTGGTATATTAAAATGCCACTACAGTCATGCGCCAGGTAACGATGTTTCAGTAAAGGATGGACCACATATATGACAACTGTCTCACAAGATTGTAGTGGAGCTAAAAATTCCTATCGCCTAGTGACACTGTAAGGCCATACCACACATGAGACAGTAATGTCCTAGTCCTTCACATTCACTCACCACTCACTCACTTCCAGTCCTGCAAGCTCCGTTCATAACAGCTGACCTGTACAGGTGTACCATTTTTTATCTTTTATACTATATTTTTACTATACCTTTTCTACCCTGTTTCCCCGAAAATAAGACAGTGTCTTATATTAATTTTTGCTCCCAAAGATGCGCTAGATCTTATTTTCAGGGGATGTCTTATTTTTCCATGCGCTAGGTCTTATTTTCGGAGGATGCCTTATTTTTGGGGAAACACGGTATGTTTGGAATTATTGAGACAAAACAAGCATTTACCATTGTGTTACAACTGCCTAGTATGTTCCGTATCAGTACAGCAATATGCTGTACAGGTTTATAGCCTAGAAGCAATAGGCCAAACCATACAGCCTAGATGTGCAGTAGGCTGTACCACCTAGGTTTGTGGATGTCCACACAATGACAAAATAGCCTAATGACACATTTCTCAAAACACATCCCTCCTGATCGTTATGTGACGCATGACTGTACTTCACTGCTCAGTTTTGTACTGTCCTTTTCATCAGTACTCACTCATCACAGACATTTCACTTAAAGTAAGCTACCCCACATTTAGACTGATAACTTTTGGTTTTAAAAAACATGCCCCTCTATTTTTAAAACTTGAATATTATCATTTTCAAGCTAACATGGATTTATGAATTTTTTAAGGTTAAGCTTTATATAAAAACTAAGAAGTGCCTAAAAGATATATACATAATGATTTTATTAAGGTTAAAAAAAAGTAAAAAAAAAAAAAAAAGAACATTATAAAAAAACCACAACCAATAAGATAAAATGGTGTTAGGTTCCAAAAATACATTTAAATAAAAAGTACAGTTCCACTTCGTTTTTCTGATGCCTAAATCTGATAACTAAATACTAAGAATTTGGTAAAAATGTATAATACAGATTTCATCAATAAAGGCAATTCATTTTGAAATCCATGAAGCAGATGGCTTCAAAATACATTACAATCACAGATTATATTTTTAATTTCAGCCCCTTATCTAGCAAACGTACACCAATGCCTAGAAAGGAACGAGAAATTAGCAAGATCTAAATATCACTGTCCATATCTCTGTTAAACTATTTGATAAACTAAAGTGACATATAGAAATATAAAGCTATTATTTTAACACGTGGTCAACTGAATTTTTGCTCATCAACAGAGACAAAGCATGTCCCAAGTTAAGAATGTTCAAGTTCCAGTTACTTACAATTGGTTCTTTAGAATGGTCAAAATGATAACTACATAAATCTCTCACCTTAACTCTTAAGAAAGTTTGCATTAAACTGCATCTCTAATTTAATTATCAATATTTTAAGTCCATTAACAAGTTAGATCCAAATCCTACACTTTTAAAAATTACTATATAAAATGTAGCTGTTTTATACCCCTGCCTTTCATCTTCTATGCCAAGGTATTAATAGATAATAGTTTGTTATGCTCAAAGCAGAAGTATTCAAAATTAAATTTAAGATGGAAAGCGGGGTGTTTTAACTATTAAATGGTACATTGATCTTTTAGATATTTTATCACATGTAGAATCTGACTGGTTAGCACGCCATTTAAGCATACAAAGAAATCAATGTTGGTTAGCCAAAGAATATGTGCATTTTAAATATAATTATTAACCCCAGAAAAGGAAAATAACTTCTTTAAAAAGTGCATAAATAATTTGAAAACACAAGTTACACATTAAAAAAGTATGGTAAAAATGATAAAATATTAAAAATAATTGATTTTTCAAATTATATTTTTAGTAATTCCTCTGGTTTACTAGTATTTATACCCAAAAGGAGGGAGCACAGAGTTATATCCAAAAGGAGGGAGCACAGGCTGTGACCTTTAATTACTAATTGGCAATAAATATGCTGTTAAAACAGAGTAAATCCAAGCAAACAAGCAGCATCAGGAACTTTGGATTCATTCTGCATTTACATTCTGGGGTGTACTTATATTTACAAATGCTATTATCTTTGTCTACAAGCTAACCAACCAGTAAGGAAGAGTTAGTCTGTGCAATGCAAATGGACTAGTCTAGATGCAACCCAGTCAAGGTGTGCATATACCTTTTTTGTTTCTTTTTTAACTTTTCTTCTTCATACCTTGGTAGGGAAAAGTTATTTGAGTAAATACACATGTTATAAAGATAAGCAAAAACTCAAAAAAGGAACTTAAAATAAAACCATTTAGGTTTGCAGGTAAAACAAAAAAAAAATTAATACAGTAATATAGACAATCACACGTGACTTAAGAATTCTGGCTTTGACACATTCAACAGACTAAAATCTCAGATTAACAGAATAGATACTTTTTCTACATTAGAGCACCGTGATACTCAAGTACTTTACATTAAAAGCTTCTACCAAGACCTTTTAAAAATTAGATAAAAGTTAATTTGGTAAACAGAATAAATCCTAATCACTGGAAAGTATTAAGGCTGATCTAAATAACATTTTATTTCTCTAGTAATATTCAATGTCATGACAAGCTTTTACTCAAATTAGGAGAGCAGCATGCCCAAATTTGGAGAATGTTCTTTAGCACTGACCAATCAGAAAATCATCTCTTAGACTGTAAGCCAGTCTTTACAAATATAAATTAATCATAACCAGAAATAATTCTTCCTATTTCTTCAACTGGCAGACTTAAGAAATGGTGAATTATGGGAAAGGTGCTGGGAAATGGCTTCTTCTTTTTTGTTAATCCTCACCAAACAATATTTTTTCCTACTGATTTTTAAAGAGTGGAAGGGAGGGAGAAAGTAGAGAGAGAGAGAGAGAGAGAAGGAGGGAGGGAGAGAAGAAAAGAGAGAGAGAGAGAGGGAGGGAGGGAGGAAGGGGGAAAGAGAGGGAGATCAACTGGTTGGTTGCCTTTTGCACCCACCCTGACTGAGGATGGGGACTGAACGGCAACCCAGGTAAATCCAGGTATGTGTCCTTGACCTTGAATCATACTGGAGACCCTTCAATGCTCGGGCCAACACTTTTAACTGCTAAGCAACACTGGCCAGGGCTAGCTTGTTCTTCTCTTATTTTGTTACAAAAACAAGAGAAATTACAAAATACTTACAGTCTATGAAATGAGAAAAAATGAGTATTAAAAATATTTACCTCTTGCACATCAAAATATAAAGATCCAATACAATTAAAGAAAAAAAACAAAACATACTGTTTTATGCATTCTGGTATGCCAACATATTCCATGGGGACAAGTTCCGCTAGTTCTGCCAAATTAAAGACGTATCTAATTTTTTGGCTGAATTTTGAGCTATGGAAAAAAATAAAAATAATTACCTTAATATTTCTGACCAACAGCACTGACAAGAAATTCATACAAGGAGTTTGTGTTCCTGCTTTTTAAAAGTGTCAACGGCATTCAAAAAATTACCTAATAAACGGTCTTGTAACAGCCAGAAGTGTTCTAATAAACCAAGAGGGATGTACGATGATTAGAGATTTTAGGTTTTTCCGTAACCTGGAGTTAAAAAAAAAAAAAAAATTAACAAGCTTTACAAATTCTAATGTTAGAAGTTAAGCCATCAGCAAGTATATGGAAGTTTAAACAAAAATTAATTGAAAATCCCTCACTTAAGTGTTCTCATTTAGATGTGATATTCCTTTAAATACAAGATAATGCACTCATGAACTGTGATGGTCCATCCTGCTGGTATGAAATAAACTTTACTTCATTTGGCTACATTTATGTATACCACTTGTCTTCAGGACTCTGCCACCCAAGGGTAGAGGCTAATACTGAATACAGAAGTAAACTGTTCACATTTTTTAGGACTGGGGAGAAACTGGTACTAATTTCCTCAACACCATGAAAGGCACTGTGCAAGCAAAAAGCTGGGGATGGAGATCACCATAGTAATGGGCAGCATAAATTAGATCTCATGCATTCTCACAAAGCCTAAAATTTTTATTAGAAATGAAAGGCATTATTCTAGACAATTTGAAATGACCAAATAACTTCTATCACACATACTTCGCACCTAAATAAAGTGATCGTTATGAATATTTTTTGAAATTACAAAAACTAGTCCATGTCATGGTTAGGTATGAAAAGACACCTATAAGTGGGTCTGAGTTGATTAAACTAGCTCGAATTAGTTATGGTCAAATCATACCAATTAGAGGAACAAAGTTCCTTCCATTAGCATGGATAGAATGCACTTCTAGAGCTCATTCCAAAGAAAGATTACAGCTAAATAAGCACTGTAACATAAAATATGATAATGTAAGTTAGGCAAAACTTAGAATGTAATAAAACAGAAAATGTACCAAGTTCTCCATCCTTTCCCAAAAATGTAAATTACTGGAATATGTTCAACATGGTATAAATAAAGAGAAATAAAGAGGTGTTATATAAATCTGTTTTAAGGAATTAAAGTTATTCTTTATAAAACAGATCAAAACTAACTTCTTTCATAACATTAAATACTGTATTGAAAAAATAGAAACTTTCTATGAAATTAATAAATGCAATTTAGGAAGTGTATACATGGCCTTTAAGTGCCAACAGAAAATAATCTAATAAGGCCATTATAAAAATTATTCAGACTAGCTTTCAACTTGTATTTATAGTACCTTCTATCAATTTGCTGATAGCATTTCCTGAGCCATCCCAGACTAGGCATCTTCCTTCGAGTCGTTGCACCATTTAAATAAACTATCATGTAGTTTTCTGCTACCAATAGTTCCAAAGTGCCAATAACATACCTGTAAAAGCAAATTAAAACCTTAAGTAACAGTTTTGTGTACCAAACTAGGTTATCCAAATTACAATTCCCTTCCTTTTCTTCAATGATAGAAAAAACAATTAAAGTTTTAAATGTTAGTATAATTTTTTTAAAGTTATCTTCAGTTTATTTTTAAAATTAATTACATTTATTGAGATAACATTGGTTGAGTTACCTTTTAGAAATACACATTGAAATGTTCATAGATGAAATGATATGATGTATAGGATTTGCTTCAAAATTATACATAGGGCCAAGTTTGAATTATGGGAATGAAGTCTAAATTGATGACTGTGGAATTGAGTGATTGGTACACAAAGATTCAATACACTGCTCTTTACTTTTGTATATGTTTTAAACTTTCCACAACAAAGTTTTTAAAAAACTGCATTAATTGGAGAAAAAGAATGACTTTGTGGAAATACAATAGAACTGAGCCAGCTTAGTTATATTTGGTTTTTCAGGACTAAATATAATTTAGTCATGTAATTTTAAAATAAAAAAGTCACTTCTTTACCCTCAAAGTGTCCTCAACGATAAAATAGAGAAGCTGGAACAGATCATCTGAAATATTCCTTCCAGTTTAAAATAATAAATTTTTTTCAGATAAGTTAAAAAACAAAATAGCTTTGTAATGCTAAAGAATAAGTACTTAAAAACAACCAGACTTGGGATATTTATAATTTTTACCCAGCTAAACTTCACTTCCTTAAATTGGACATCCAATTTTGTCTAAACATTTTTGTGAAGATATACATACTTAAAGAGATTGTCCATCAGGTATCTATAGTTAGGTTGACCACTTTCAGGCATAAAACAGACAGCAAACACAACAATGGCATTTAATCCATCCCCATAATATCCTGAAAAGAAACCAAAGATAAAATCACCAGCATAATTTTACTCTGAAGATTTTTCAGAGGACATCTGTATGGTTGTAGAGTATAAGTGGTTTACCTTCCACAAAATTTTGGATAAAAAAGTTGTGGGTTTTTTTTTTTTTAGATCTTAAAAGCCAGACTTGTTTTAACAAGTTAACAAAAATAACGATGTAATCCAAGCAGACACAATAGGACAAGATCTGCAATAAAACATCCTTATGCAACTTAGTTTAGAGTGGGTACTTTATTTTCTTTTTAAGTTTTAAAAAAATATATATGTTTTTATTGATTTTAGAGAGAGGAAAGGAGAGTGAGATAGAAACACTGAAGAGATAAACATGGATCAGTTGCCTCCTGTAGACCCTGTACTGGGACTGAACCTGCAACCATGGTGAGTGCCCTGACTGGGAATTGAACCAGCAACCTCCTGGTACATGGGATGACGCTCATCCCACTGGGCAACTGAGATAAAGTGGATGCTTTTTAAAAAAAGAGTTATGCTCACCCTAGCTGGTTTGAGCGTCAGCCTGTGGACCGAAGGGTCCCGGGTTTGATTCCAGTCAAGGGCATGTACCTCATTTGCAGGCTTCTCCCCAGCCTGGGCCCTGGTCAGGGCTCATGCAGGAGGCAACCAATCGATGTGTTCCTTTCATATCAATATTTCTGTCTGTCTTTCCCTCTCTCTTCCATGCACTTTAAAAATCAATGGAGCCAAAACCGGTTTGGCTCAGTGGATAGAGCATTGGCCTGCAGAATGAAGGGTCCCAGGTTCGATTCCGGTCAAGGACATGTACCTGGTTGCGGGCACATCCCTGGTGGGGTGTGTGCAGGAGGCAGCTGGTCAATGTTTCTCTCTCATTGATGTTTCTCTCTATTCCTTTCTGTAAGAAATAAATAAAATATATTTTAAAAAAATCAATGGAAAAATATCCTTGGGTGAGAATGTAAAAAACAAAAACAAAATAAATAAATAAAAAAAAGTTACGTTCAACATTGCCTAATGTTTTGAAGATTTTAGGGTATTAATACCTAAGAAAACATCACATCTCTGACATAATTCTAGAAAAACAGAGCTAAAATGTATATTTTTTTATTGTAATCTCTAGATATTAAGTGTATCCAATAATAGTTTTGTTTTAACTTTCTTTTCTATTGTTCACAAACATGCACTAAAAAGATTTGAACATTTCAAATGCATTAAAACTTTATCTTTCTTAATACCTGTCACAAATATAATAAGTTCAGTAGGATACAATAACCCTAATTATTTCCTGTAAGAAAAATAAAGTATTATTTCTAAAAAATATGGTGTTTAAGCCATGAGCTAGGTCTCACAACCTGCTTCCTATGAACTATCTGAATTAATATGTCTGTGGACTTCCTGATACAGGATTTTTTCTTCTTCATCTGAGTAAGATTAAATTAGGCAAGATAATGTAACTGCAAATATTCAAGTGATTTGCTCTCAGATGAATGAAGACTATACAAATAAGCAAGGGGGTGCCTTTGATGGAGAATAAATTAAGTGGAAATAATTCTATGTGATAAAAACCTATTAGCTTGACCTATGTGGCTCCCTGCCTGCATTTGGAGGATTTCAGGTAACATGACATGCTCTACAGAACGAGTTGCATTTTGGTTAGCACTAACATTCTAGCACTATTTGCACAATGTTGAGGTCTATATACAGCAAAGACAGACTAACAAGTTATAATTGTCTTGATACTATTTGCTTTACCTATTTGACTTATAAATTTCTTAGGGGAAGGGACAAAAAGCCTTATATTTTTATATATCCCACAAATATGTAAAATAGAACCTACATAAAAATGTGGAATGAACTGGTTTTCTACTTTGTAGTAAAGAGGAATGATTTGTTCAGGGTTGTTGTTTTTTTTTAAATACATTTTTTTTTTTTTTTTTTTAATTTCAGAGAGGAAGAGAGAGGGGAAAGACAGGTAGCAACATCAATGATGAGAATCGTGGATTGGCTGCCTCCTGCATGCCCTCCACTGGAGACTGAGCCTGCAACCCTGGCATGTGCCCTTGACCAGAATCAAACCCAGGATCCTTCAGTCTGCAGGCAGATGCTCTATCCACTGAGCCAATCAGCTAAGACTTGTTCAGGGTTTTAAGGTAAATTAAGAATCATACTTTAAAAAGCCAGGTTTTACTTATATCCACAAAAGACTGTATAAGAATGTTCATGGCAGTTTTAATAATGATAGCTCAAATTTGAAACTAACATGTCCATCAAAAGAAGAACAGATAAGCAAACTGTGGCTTATTCATGCAAGAGAAAGCCACTCAGCAGTAAGAAATAAACTATGGATGCATGCAACTACATGGATGAAGCTCAAAAACATTATGCTGAACAAAAGAAGTAGATCAAAGACTGTACACCACATGACTCCAGTCACAAGAAATTCTATTAACAGGTACAACTAACCAGGGGGTAAACATAAGAATAGTGATTACTGGAGAGGTAATCTTTGGAAGGGAGTATGAAAATGTCCTATATGTCTAGGGTTGTGGGGTATAGGGTATATATGGTTATATGGGTATTTGTCAAAACTCATTGAACTGTACACTGAAGATTAGAACATTTTAAAGTGAAATAAGTCAGACAGAATAAAAACAAATATGATATTACTTAAATGTGGAATCTAAAAAAAATTCAATCTCAGAAAAAAAGACTAGAATGGTGGTTACTATGGGCTGTGGGAGAAGGGGAGATGTGTCAAAGAGTACAAATTTCCAGTTAGAAAATGAGTAAGTTCTGAAGATCTAATGTATAGCATGGTGACAACAGTTAGTAATTGTGTTATGTATTTGAAAGTTGCTAAGATTTCAAAATGTTCTTACCACAAAAAAGAAATAGTAATTATGTAATCTGATGCAGGTGTTAGCTAAGGCTATGGTGGTGATCACTTTACAATATACAAGCGTATCATATCAACAAACTATACATCTTAAACTTATATGTCCATTATATTATATCTCAATGAAGCTGGAAAAAAATTTGTAAATGCTACAAAAATGGTTTAGAACATTTCACTGCATATAAATTATAAATGGATACAAAGAGGAGAAAGTCTCAGTTTTGGGAATGGTGTAAAGGGAGAGGGTGGAAGGGAGAATTTTCATTGCATATTCTTATAACTTTTGAACTTACTATAGTGCATGCATTAATGATTTTAAATGTTGACTTTATTCTTTTAGTTCAAACCTGTTATGTTACTAAAATGACATGATAAATATTTATTATTTTTTTCAAAATTATATAATATCTTAAGGAAGAGTTTCTTTAAGCAATTAGGTTTCTGATGTTGCATTAAAAAATCTGAACCATCTTAGGTAACTCTTACCTCCATGACTGATGACTTTTTTATAGGGTTCAATGGCCTTCATATCAACTCTGTGGTCCTGTTCTCCAATTCTGAACATACGCCAGCGTCGTCCATCTTCTTTTTCCTCCTCTGCTGTGTATTCGGTAATTGAGTCTTTCCTAATAACTTCAGTAGTTTTGGGTTTTGGAAGATCATCTGTCAAAATAAAAGGTTTTTGAATTCCAAATGTTACTTAAATCACAAAATAAAACTGCATGTTAACCACTTTGCTATCTAATTAGAATGTTTGGAGACTTTTTCATTACACTTATGTGGAATATTAAATATTTCTTTCATACTAGAAGGAAAGGCTTGCTCTTCAGATGAAGTCATCTTATGCTTTTGGAAATCATGTTTTTTTCTTTTGTTTGTATTGCCTAATTCAGAAAGCACTAATCACAGTACAAGGTATAATATATCTGAAGTTCAGAAAAGATAGTTCATACAGACACCGAAATCTTAGTACAATGGCCCTACAATGCCTTTCTAGATTCTGTTTATAACAAGACTGTCCTTGACAGTTATCAACACTATAGGTTACTTAATTATCTGGGAGCCAATCATTTTTTGTGTTATTGAGCACAAAATTATTCCCCAAACATTACACCAGTAGAAAGTGGTTAACTAGTCAATGATTATTGCTCATTTGATCAGTTTTTTAAAGCAGAAATTTATTGATAATATTCTTAAGTTTACATGCAAAAGTATATTTTAAATTGACATTAGACAAAGCTTAAGCACCAATGATTAGGGGTAATTTATATTTCAAGATTATATTTTAGATGATTTTTAATGCTGTAATGATATTCAAAATTGTAGTATCATAGTCCTTACCAAAAGATGTGGGGAGGGGAAACCTACTGCATGTTAGTTGTTTGTTTCCAAGATAAAGCAGTTAACGGAAAATATCCTTCCAGGAAATGACTAGAGATGCATTAAAGAAAGAAGAAACAAACACATAGGCAGAAAACTATTTCAGTATCTTTATTAAATATTGCTTCTTACTGGACTGCTTATTGAACCAAAAAACAGGGAAGAAAAAAGGAACAAAAGGTATAGCACATCAAGGATCTTAACCTTCACTGTAGATAATATACTTAGTGCTAAATATTGCTTTGAAGTAAAAATAATTTTAAAGATAGTATATACCTATAAATTATTAATAATACAAAGGCACTATAGCCAACAATTATCTAATTAAAGAAAGCACGCGAAGCAAAACACATGCAAATTCCTTTGGATTTCAAGTAACAAATGAGAGGAATATAAAACTGAAGCTAGAGTATACAATAATTCAAGCTGGTTATTTACAAAGTGCAGCAATAGCAGCAAACCTTATTATTTTTTTTTTAATCATTCTCAAAAAACTCCCTTAGAAATCTCTCTCTGCAAACCCTTAACTACTTTTAGCACATCTCCTAAATTATGTCTCTTCAGAGCTTCTTTTTTTTTTTTTTTTAGTGGACATAAGAATATGCCATAATTATCAAGCAATGTTTTGGGAGCGACCATGTAAAAAATGTAATTTCATAGCAATTGAGGGGGGGGGGGGGGAAAGCCACCTGTGTAATCTACTAAAAATAGTTTGAAAGCTTTGAGACTATTCAGTGTTAGCAAAATTTCATACTTTAGTAAAAAAGAGGAAAATATAACTTTATAAAAAATAACACATTTCAATAAAACCTCTTAATCATTAATTTTAACTGTCAAGTTTTAAGTTTTTCCAATTATCCTATGAGAATGCCATTACAAAAAACATGCATGTATATAAAGACAAACATTCATTAATAAAAGTTAGGTAAAAACAACAAAATATTTACCTTCCCACTCAAATTCATTACTATTCTCTGATGGTGTATCTAAGCCATCTAAGTCAATCTCCCCACTTTCATCCAAATCATCTGACAACACAGAGCCATCACTAGGATCGAGGGTCAGGCTAATGTCTGGAGCCATTAGTTTCTTTCGTACTTTATTTCCATTAACTTCTAGTGAGCCTGGAATGGGTAAAGCAAGCGAAAGATGTATTAGAAGGAATGTTTAAATGTCCATCACTTCATCCTGAGGAAAAATAAAATTAAACATAACCTCAAAGCACTAATTTACAACTTTATTTTGATCATGGCTGTTTCTATGTCATGGCAAGATGGTATATCCCAGCAAAGACACATCTTTTTAAATAAAGGCAGATCTCATAGTCACCTCTACTACTAAAAGTGATCTACTCTCATTCCTTTAGTGTAGAAATTTCCAAAAACCTCCAAAGTATTCCAAAAATTCTTTCCTCAACATTCAACTTACCTTTTGTCCCCTATGATGAAACAAACACCAAGTATATTTTTTCCTTGACAAAGAAACGTGTTCAAAAATAGCACACTCTATCGTTTTACTGAAACTAAAAGTGTCAAGTTCTTACCAGGCTGGTTCTCTGGTTCAGTTACAGCTAATATATCTGCTTCAATACTATCATCTTCTGGTAATGGTCTAGAAGACAAAGATATACTTTTAAGTAAGAAATTAAAAAAATATATTTTTTCAAGTCCCAAGTTCTATTAAAAATAGCTTATAGCCCTAGTTGGTGAGGCTCAGTGGATAGAACATGGGCCTTCGGACTGAACGTTCCTGGGTTTGATTCCGGTCAAGGGCATACCTGGATTGCAGGTTCCATCCCCAGCCCTGGTGGGAGCTCGTGTGGAAGGCAACTAATTGATGTTTCTCTCTCTGTCTCTCCCCTTCCCTCCCATGCTCTCTAAAAATAAATGGAAAAAAATCTTCAGGTGAAGATTAAAAAAAAAAAAAGTTATAAAAACAATTATGTAGAAAATTGACTTTATAAAACACTTTTAAAGAAAATATTTCCAGATTGTCAGAGTTGACTTACATATTTATTTCAGTAACACAAAAGTATACATTCCTTGTTACTGCCCTTTAATACAACTATAAAAATCATAAATCTACCAAATATAATTGAAATGTATGAATTTAACATGATACATGATACAATGTATGATGAAGCTAAATTATTGCTCACAATGGGATTATGGTAATTGCTTTGAGTACTAGCATTTTCACATTACTATTATCATCATGTACTATGCAGTGACTCAGTATGACTCAGTCTCACCCGTCCCTTTCAACTGCTAAGGAACCTTACTATGTACTGGCTTGCTTTTCGAACCAGGATGGCATGGAAACATCATTTAAACATAAGATCTGCAAACCATCATGCTGTCTGTCTTAAACTTAGTAAGTCAATTATTTCTCAATAAAACTGGAAAAGAAAAAGTTTGTCTCTGCTCATTTTCTAACAACTCTATTGGTGCCAATACAAATGTAAATACAAATGCAAATCTGTCAAGGTAGCCAGTCACATGATCTGGGAAAGCCTGGCTTATTTATTTAATACATTTTTAAAAAGATTAAAAGCAGAACAATTGGCCCAATAATCATTTTTTAAAATATTTTTATTAATGTATTTTATTGGTTTTTCACAGAGAGGAAGAGAGAAGAATAGAGAGTTAGAAACATCGATGAGAGAGAATCATTGGATCAGCTGCCTCTTGCACATCTCCTACTGGGCATGTGCCCGCAACCAAGGTATGTGCCCTTGACCGGAGAACCCGGGACCTTTCAGTCCATTGAGCCAAACGGGTTTCGGCCCAATAATCATTTAGTAGATGACATCAGAATAAATTTGAAGTTTTCTACATTTATTTTCATTTATAAGCACTGCTCACATTGGAAAATCTTCATCTTGCCATTCTTCTTTAAGTTCTACACCTTCCATCCTTAGCTTGGACTCAATGTCAACTACAAATTCCTGATAATCCAGAGAGCCAATGTCCTGTGAAAAGAGAAAAATTTATAACAACTTGTCATTTTACTTTTTATTGGCTGAAAAGGTACAATAATCTTATATTTTAGCTCACACCTCTAGCTTTAGCTCAATGGTCTGGTCATAAAATCAATTTACTGGATTACAACTACCATTTAAAAAGAAATTTGAATAGAAAATAATCAGAGTATGTATATATTTTCATATATGTTTTTAGTTGCAAAAATGCATGTATCCCAGGTTGTGAGTCTAGAAGACAAACTGTGTCTTTCAGCTTTGTTACTCCTTGAACAATTGTATCATTAGAAAACAGCCCCTCTAAATACAGAGAGCCTGAGTATTTCAGCTCTCTTCGCCAATTCATTCAATTTTTACTTGAATGTCATACTGAATCTTGTGATGTTAATATAGCAGAGCATATAAACGTGGCTATTTAGTTTGGGGAGGAAAAAGAAGGATATATTCACTCTTAAACATTTCGTCACAAACTTTAGGAGGAAAAGTACAGTAGGTAGATAAAAACAGTTGAAACAATTGAGAGAGTACTGTTCTTGGAAGCACTTTATCTGCAGCTCTAATAACAGGAAATAAACAAGAAAGGAGCAATATAAGCACAAATACTGAAGGATATTGCTGACTTAGGCGTTAACTGGCTGCTTCCCATTTTTGTAAATTAGAATGAGGGGAAAAAGGAATGAGGAAATAATACTTTAAGAGACTATTTGTTAAAATAACCCAATGCAGCCCTAGTTGGTTTGATTCAGTGGATAGAGCGTTGGACTGCAGACTGAAGGGTTCTGGGTTCGATTCCAGTCAAGGGAACATGCCCAGGTTGCAGGCTCATCCCCAGTAGGGGGCATGCAGGAGGCAGCCAACAGGTCAATGATTCTCTGTCATCATTGATGTTTCTCTCTTTCTCTCTCCCTCTCCCTTCTTCTGTGAAATCAATAAAAATATGTTTTAAAAAGTAAAAATAAAATAACCCAAAGCAACAGGAATAACTTGACTTTTCAACACACTTATGGTAGTGGTGGCATTTTATTACTTTTGCTGGCTATGAGTGGAGGTCATAGAGATAAATTAAAAATAATCATTCACTTCGTGAGGTTAAAAATCAAGGAGATAATGGATTTCCTCCTCTACGACCAAGAAGGGGATTTCCCCAGTGCAACTTAGCAGTATAAGCAAAAATTAAATATTAAGATCATATTTAGAACTGTCTGAATCATAATTTTACATGGTAACTTTACTATTATGTAGTTTAACATTGCTGCTGGAATAGGTACTAGTAACCACATCTTTGCGGAAATCAATTACAGTTGGCAGAAGGAAATGCCCAGACAAGCTTTTCACTTCCTCATTTAGATGAAAGGGATTCATTCTATGTTCACTTTTCCTATGAGTTTGGCAACACTGTTAGCATTACAGGAAAATAATGTAGGCCATCCTATGTGTTTGTGAAGATCACCAAGCACTCCTGGAAAAATCCTATATGCTTTCTTATCATTGCTTCCTTGAAAGCAAGGTCATATAAGCTTTTTATTTTTAATAATAGTTTTTAAAAAATATATATTTTATTGATTTTTTTTTTTTTTCAGAGAGGAAGAGAGAGGGATAGAGAGTTAGAAACACCGATGAGAGAGAATCATCGATCAGCTGCCTTCTGCACAACCCCCACTGGGGATGTGCCCGCAACCAAGGTACATGCCCCTGACCGGAATCGAACCTGGGACCGAACTGACGCTCTATCCACGGAGTCAAACTGGTTTCGGCCATATAGGTTTTTTAGAATGAAATGACACAATGTCATATTCCACCTGTAAGAGTGATTAGTACAAAAAAGACAAGAAATAACAAGTCCTGGGGAGGACGTAGAGAAAAAAGAATCCTTGTACACGGTTGGTGAGAATGTAAATTGGTGCAGCTACCTGGAAAACAGTATAAGGTTCCTTAAAAAATTAAAAGTAGTACCACTATATGAACCAGCATTTCCACTTTTGGGTATTTAGCCCAAGGAAATAAAATCTACTGTTTCAAAAAGACGTGCATTTCCATATTTATTGCAGGATTATTTATAATAGCCAAATATGGATACCACTTAAGTGCTCATTAATGGATGAATGGGTAAAATGTGGTATGTGTATATGTGAATGTACACGTATACACACACACACACACACACACACACACACACACACACACACAGACGGATATTATTCAGCACATAAAAGATCTTGCAATTTGCAACAAAACCGATGGACCTCAAGGGCACTAGGCTAAGTAAAAAAACTGTATGACCTCACCTACATGTGGAAATCTAAAAAGCAGCACAAAAACAAAAAATTAAAACTGAGCTCACAGCCTAAACCGGTTTGGCTCAGTGGATAGAGCATCGGACTGTGGACTGAAGGGTCCTGGGTTCGATTTCGGTCAAGGGCATGTATAATACCTTGGTTGCAGGCACAACCCCATTAGGGGGTGTGTAAAAGGCAGTTGATTGATGACTCTCATTAATGTTTCTAACTCTCTATCTCCCTTCCTCTCTGTAAAAAAATAAATAAAATATATTTAAAAAATATAACTGTGTGTGGTGACGGATATTAATTAGATTTAATTGTGGTGAACATTTCATAATATATACAAATATCAAGTCATGTACACCTGAAACTAATATGATCTATATCAATTATAAGTCCATTAAAACAAAGAATAAAATGAGATACTCTATCAGAAATGTTAACACAAAATTTAAGAAAAATTATAATGGTGCTGACCTTTCTTAAAATTGTAAAAATAAAGCAAAAGATAATTATCCCACTTATAAAATACACATGCTGAGACCTTTAAAAGAATTAAAGTCTAATTACTGATCTCTAACACTTTCCTATAGTTACAAATATTATAATTTTGGAAAATTACTATCATCATATTATGCTAGTGTTTGGCTTTACAGAAGGTAAGATGAACAAGACGTCTTTCAATCCACTGCCAGCCAAGGTTAATTTATCAGATCTGGCTAAATATACTACTTCCTTTCTTAAACGCCTTCCTTCCTCACTGCTCCTTCTACCAGCATTATTCCTGATGGAATGAATACAACTGCTTTCCCAAAGAGTGCTTTTCACATTTACTAACCACTTGCACATTCATCATTTCATATGTCCCAACCAACAATTTTGTGAGGTATGAAACACTGGTGTTATTATCCTAGATTTATCACATATATGAGGCAAATGACTCTACATCCTGGTTCCCAGACCTACACTGTCTCTAACACAGCAGTGTCTCTAGTTCACTGGCAACTTTATACAGAATAAGCCTGGAATGCCAGGTTACACTTAGCTTCAAAGATCATCAAGAATATAGTCTGCAGGGTAACTAAACTGGGTAGCTTCAGTTACAATTTTGAGGCATCTTACCAGTTACAAACTGCAAATCTCAAACTATCAGAGAAAGAATACATTTAACTTTAAAAATTAAGAAGTTAAGCAGTAAGCGAAATAAAGCTCTTAATAAAAAAAAAAAAAAGGTGAGGATGAAAAATGCAATCACACACTTCAACTATGTAGAAGGCACTATGACCACCTCCAGGGGTGGGGAACGTCTGGCCGCGGAAATCATTTGGCCTGACCCTGCCAAGGCATTAGGGGAGGGGTTAATTAAATGTATAACCAGATATAGCTGGCTAATTTTTAAGTTGACAACTTTGTGTGGCCTTTGAATGACGTTATAAATATCCAAATGGCTCTTGGCAGGGGAAAAAAAAAAAAAAAGAAAAAAGAAAAAAGAGTTCCCGGAACAGACAAGGGAAGTTTCAAAGCAACGCCATAGAACCAAATAAAGTTTTCATTTAACATGAGCTGACCTAGATCTCCAGGGGCATCAAATGCATCCAGGACACCAAAACCATCCCCCCCCCCCCCCCCCCGATATCTAGGCAAACGATAGCGTCCGGATGCACGCAGACACCCGTCTTTTCAAGTAGGAAGGTCTATTAAAGCTCCGATTACAGACGCCGCTTCCGTGCTTCCTCTCCGAAGGTAGGAGACACACCACAAGTTTAAGTTTCTTTGTTCTGCACCGGGACAAGGCTGGCCACAAATAGGGGACCGACGTGGCCCAGTCTCCGGTCTCAGACCGGGGTGTGTGCAAGGGGGTGGGATGGGGGGCGCCCTGGAAGGGGGTAAGTTCCAGCCGGTGCACAACCCCACGAACGGAAAAGGGAGTGGAGGTGCAAGGATGGCAAAAGCAAACAGGAGCCGAGCCAAGGGCGGGGGCCGACGCGGGGCGGGATCCGGGAAGCGCCAGCGGGCAGGTTCTCTGGCACCCCCCCCCCCCCCAAAGGGCGGCCCTCCGGGCTTCCTCTCTCTGGCCCTCCGGGGGCACACGACCCTCGGACGCTCGCCCCCACGCACGTTCCCAGCGCGGACCCTCCATGCCCAGCCCACCCCACCCGGGCCGCGCTCACCCCGGAGGAAGCCTTGGCCCCCTCGTCTTCTTCGCCCCTCCAGGCCGGCGACGTGGGGCTGACGGCCAGGTCGCAGAAGGTAGCGCCGAGCGGAGCCCGCTCCCCTCGGACCGCAGCGTAGACGGGAGTCCAGGACCCCGGCCACTGATGCAGCGGTAGCGGCAGCGGCGTAGCTGACCCGGATGCAGAGGGCAGCCCCGGCGGAAGTGACTACCTGCCGACCTTCCCGCAGGCGCCGCGCCCGGTGGAGGCGGTGGAGGCGGAGGCGCAGGCGCGGGCGGGGGCGCAGGCGCATGCGCAGGCGTGGCATTATCGTGAAACCCCCCGAGTCCCGCCCCCGCCCCTCTCAGGCCTCAGGGAGAAACCCTGCGCAGGCGCCGCGCGGCCGGCGGGGCACCTTTTGTGCGGCCCTTCCGGGCTGTGGGCGCAACCTTGACCTGCGCTGGGTGCACGCAGCCCAGCGTTTCAAAGAGCCATCTTTATA